TGTCGCCAACGGCGGGGTACATAAACAAGCGCTAGGACGTGAGGAACAAGTTAATTAATCAGATAAACAAATCGGAGTAAGGTGTGCCGGTTCAATTTCTAAATTAATTTCTACATTTTATACCCCTTGTTGCTTGCTGAAGGGGGCCTCATCTTGTCTGTTAGGCCTAGGATGAGGAGGTAATCCTTCAGATAACATTGAGAAATAAAAGTACAGAGTAAACTGGGTGTCGATTATCCCCCTCACCTTCCAGACAACAGTCTATTTGACGCACTTTGAACCTAGGTTCAAAAGTTACAGGATGTGGTCCACCACCGATACCGCTTGAGCATTTACAGTAGGCTGGCTTGCCGAACAACCTCCTCGTGGTGCTAGCTGGGTGGTTCGGGATTTTCCCGTTCCAACGAATGGTTCGGCGGCAATGTTTCAGGACGTGGTGGGTTTTCGCCTGGCAAACGTTCTCCCTATAAAAAGCCACATATGTCCGTTTAACAACACTGCGACGTGGCGGATGTGACTCGCCACTAAATAAAGTCACTGCCCCTTGCTTCACTCCAGTGGAGCATTGTATTCCAGCTGCCAGATGCTGTCATCGTGGGGAGGATTGGGCCCCTGTTTGGTACCTGACCAAACGAAAGGCGTATGAACCGAGTAATCGGTCACCGACTCCCACTTGGCGCGATTCCCTGAATGCGCCACGCTGCCTTGCGAGTAGGCTATTGAGCCAAAGGCTCGGGGTGGCAGCCCCCTAAGACAACCCCCTACTTCGGTCTAGGCAACTGGGTAGTATCTCGCATGCTGATGAACCATGGAACTGAACTGTACTCTTCGCTATGCTGATGCTGTACTATCGTGCTACTACTGTAAACACTTCCATCACAAACCAATCGCTTATCTACTCTTCCCTTGTAGCATTCTTCCCCGTTTTTGTCTGATCAATCAATGGTGAGCAGCATTACTTCCTCCGATATCACTGTTGCCGCTCCATCCTCTGACATAATCACACAGCGCCAAACCGGGGTGGAACAGTCCCGGATTCTACCCTCTCCGCTTTTGCAACCGAAGACACGGTTCAACTTGGCGGCGTTCAATCTGCGCACATTAAAACAGATTGCGCATCAAGCTGGTCTCACCCACAATCTAGAAACTCTTGCAATTGATGTTTGTTGTTTGTCCGAAACACGACTTCAGGATTCCAGCACAGTCTACCCATTGTCGTCACCAGTTCACCCTTATACTCGTTTCCACCTTCGACTTTCTGGAGACGCCGAGGCTACCGCTTTTAAACAAACTCGTGTTGGGGTCGCCCTTAGTGCCAGAGCCGAGGCTGCCCTTCTCCAATGGATTCCGATCAACAGTCGCCTTTGTGTTATCAGGCTACATAGCTCGTGCAAGGTTAACAGGCGTTGAGAAGATAAACGTGCTCTTTTTGTAATCTCCGCCTATGCTCCAAATGAATGTAACCCAGATACCCTCAAGGATCAATTCTACCAGAAGCTTCATGATCTGGTCTTAAAGGCCCCCAAAACGAACATCATTATTATGGCGAGGGATTTCAACTCGCGTGTTGGTCGTTTGTTACCTAGAGAACGCCATCTTGGATGCCCCCATGGATATGACAAAATTCGCTCAGGCAATGGTGAAAGACTACTCAGTTTGTGTGCTATCCAACAACTTTACCTCTCCAACACGAATTGTCGCCACGCTGGACGTCACTACGCTACATGGTACGCTCCATCATCTCCTCAACGTTGGTCACAGATTGACCACATCGCCATAAGTCATCGCTGCCGTGGCAGTATTCGGGAGTGCAGATCCTATTGATCAACATGCGTGGAAACTGATCATGCGCTAGTGCGTGCAACGGTTTGCATGCGTTTCGATGGTTCGTCTAGGACCAGACAAACTCGAATTAACTCTGGTAAACTAGAAGACCCCGACGTGCAATTAAAATATCAAAAGCAGCTTCGTGAAAGCCTCACTTCTCCGCCTCCTCGGGACGTTGATCAGCATTGGTCGCGATTGCAATAGATTGTTTTCAGCGGGTTTATCCAGTTGCGGTCTTGTTCGTTACACAACTAAAAGTTGGGTCTCGGCCACCTCCGCGGAACTTCTCGACTATCGGCGAGCTATACACGTCAGTGTAGAGCACACTGAACTCCGCCGTTCTATTTCCAGACAACTGAAAGTGAGTCGTCATCGTGATCGTGAGTCCTGGTCTAAACAGGCCAAGGAAATGGAAGTTGCTGCTTCTGCTGGTAATAGCCGCAGGTTGTTTTATCACATTAGATCCACAGGACGCAAAGTTCACGTCATCAGTCAGACCATCTGTGAGTCAGAAGGTACAAAGATCACCAACCTACGCAGACGCTTGGACCGCTGGGCAGAGCACTTTGCTCTACAGTTTAATTGCCAAACACAACCTCCGGTCACACATTCACTGGCCTAATGTGATTCTTGGTCAGTCTGCATAGATCCTCCCACTGAAGCAGAAATACGGAAAGAAATCTAGACTCTGAAACGCCAAAAAGCTCCTGGCGTTGACAGTCTTCCTCCGGCCTTATTCAAAGATGGGGGAACTTAGTTGTCACCGAAATTCTATCACTATTCACAAAGGTATGAAGCGATGAGAAGGTTCCTAACTCCTGGGGAGAATCTATCGTGGTTACGATTCACAAGAGGGGCTCTCGTAGTGAATGCACCAACTACCGAGGAATCCCACTTATCTCTGTCGCGTCCAAGCTCTTTGTGTCCATTCTGCTACGTAGGCTCTCAGTTACCCGCGAGAGTTTGTGTGGTGAGGAACAGACTGGCTTTCGTTCTGGCCGTGGTTGCATTGACCAAATTTTCACCTTGCGTCAAATTCTCGAACATCGTCTTGTCCACCGAAGACCAACAATGGTGGTGTTTTTGGATATCCGAGCCCCTTTTGATTCAGTAGATAGGTCGTCACTGTGGAACTGCTTGCTACGGAACGGCATGCACGACAAGTTTGTCATACTCTCGAAAGAGTTGTATAGTCACACCTCTGGCAAAGTTAGAGCTTACGGAAGGCTTACTTCTTCCTTTCCCGTTACCACTGGAGTGCGCCAAAGTTGTCCTATCTCGCCGTTCCTGTTCAAATTTGCCATCGAAGATGTCCTACATCGCGCATTGGAAGGAGCCCAGAGCTGCGGCGTTGAGCTTCTACCCGGGAGCAGAGTCGTGGACCTGGACTATGCTGATGACATTGCTTTGCTGGGGGACGACTCGCAGCATGTTCAAAACAATCTGAACCGCATAGCGATAGGGGTCTGTATTTTGCTCCATCCAAGTGTAAAGCTTTGCTCCAGGATTGGAAAGCGCCTGTGCCTACGCTCACCATTTCGGGTGTCAGTCTGGAGCTCGTTAACAGCTTTACTTACCTCGGGATTTGCATTACGGCTGGTGGCGGTATTGGTGATGAGAATTCACAACGAAATGCCAAAGGTCGCCTTGCATTTACTAACCTGAGACACTTGTGGTGTCGTCGCAATGTCAGTCTTAAGCTCAAGGGCCGAGTGAACAATGCCACAATCCGTGCTGTCCAACTGTACGGTTGCAAGACCTGGCCTGTTCGATCGGAAGATCTGAGACGACTATCTACTTTCGACAACCGCTGCTTGCGTTCGATTGCTCGCGTATGGCAGCAGCACCATGTGAACAACGTGGAAGTTAGAAGCAGAATCATAGGAGCGGACAGTCCTGATCTCCAGAACACGATCATCCAGCACCAATTGCGTTGGCTTAGTCATGTACTGCGCATGCCGGCCCACCGCTTTCCACGTCCCTCATTATTTGCACTTCCTGGACACGAATGGAAAAAGAGTCGCGGCGGACAACTGATGACCTGGAAAAGGAGTATGAAGATCCTAACTTCGTGGCTAGCGTCAGTTGGACTCATACGTCTTCCAAGCTGGGAACCACGTGAAGCGGATTCTCAATGGTTGGAGGTCTTAGAGGATATGGCACGCAATAGGAGTCAGTGGTGTCAATGCTGTTCTACCATCTCTTCATCCTGTGCTTAAAACAGGAAAACAGGAAAAAAAACTCAAAACGGCGTATGTGAAACTGGAAAAAAAAACATTTTTCTAACGTTTTACTCTCTCCTCATTCAACATTACATACTCCTTTCCATACCACCATGATTCGGATGGCATATTTGTCTGTTTACAGATTTGTGAAATATATAATAACAGTAATAATAATAATAATAATAATAATAATAATAATAATAATAATAATAATAATAATAATAACTTACAGTCAGTTCCAAGTCGAACCACCGGTTCAAAGTGTGACTGCTAACGGCTTACCAGAAGAGGTTGTTTATGGCGCAGTATGGCGAAAGATGCTAAAAAGTCTGCCCCGTTGTTGCTGCCTTAATTGTTCGTGAACCTCAACCGTTTGTGATTGTGTGATGTTGCAGATTAGGTGTTGCGTCAAACCTACTTATACTTCCAGTTTACTATTATTCCGCAATGATATCTTAATCACGATTTTACAGTAGCGAAATAGGAGCACAGAGCACTGACGTGATGCGGAGTGAGTTTCCGGGGGAAAGTTGCACGACAAAGCATGGAATAACTGTTTAGCACGCGCGTTTTGAACCAAATACATAGTGGGTGAATGTTGGTTCACCGTAACAGTGAGAAAATGTGACAAATCTACTAAAGTGCCTGTGATAACAGACAGTCAAGATGGAGAAACAGTGTAGACCGTGAATGAAGTGATGTGGCATATAGCAATTGGTTTTAACATGCCCGCTCGATAGGTAAATCGTTGCGGTAGTCACCTAGTAAAGTGCCACCAGTATTTCAAGCGCAACCGCTGCGCATAGTGCTGGAGTAGTGAATTATGAATGGCAAATCAATTGCGTCAAAAAAGGTTTCAGATTCTCAAGATTCAGTGTGAGTAATTGTGGTGAATAGGATTAATAAAGTTCAAGCATGAGCAAAAGAAGGTAACCAGACGATACATACCAAAATGCGTTTCTTCACATCTTCCATTCCATAGTGATCTTCGTCTAGGATCTGACGAGCAGAGGCCAAGTCGAGGTGTTCTTCGCTCGTCACACCCCAAGGTAGGGTAGTCAACCAGTCTAAGTAGTTACGGGTTACGCTAAAGGTGTACGTGAACAGATGGGGGGGGGGGGTAAGCAGAGCATATGATTTAGTAGGATGAACGCAGAGACACGACAGTAAGAGCCAGTTTTGGTTTGTAACCCTGCGATCACCAAAGTCCGCGAAGTTCTAAGCACATGCAGGAAAATGCATTAGGTTGTTGCCAAGAAACGTCACTCCGTTAAAACAAACAGCTAATCAATCCGAAGAACACAAGGCTAAACTTGAAACCGCACCCGGCTAAGACGGAAGCGATAGTCCAAACAAGACATCTAGAGACAATGCGCTGCAAAGGACTCACGAAATGCATAGATCATCGGTATAAAGTGATGTAGGCAATACGCCTCAGGTTGCAATATCACAGAGTGGAATAAGCGAGAAAATTAAAAAGGGGGAACTAGACGATCCCTTGGGCGCCCAGCCTCATATGCGACACAAAGGTCCGCATCCAGTGAGTCAAACGTCCACTAAGAACCAGTTCAGTTCTGGTTGTTATGCCGTAACCCGTGCAATGAGTGTGGTGGATTCATTAGACTTGAAAACGAAGCCGAAACAATGACGAGACTAATCCATGATTGGTGAGGAAGAGATACAATGGTCAGAGTAAATAATTAGTAACCAGAAAGTAGAAAACGATTGCAAGAGCGACATTAACTTGGCGACGCACCATGTTTGTAAAGGTGTCCACAACCCATACTGTGAGCAGTCCCGAGGGTCGCAGCAACAAGATCTGTGATGGGTCTATCCATGCTTTTAAGTCACACAATTAACTAGCCAGCTTGACGCTTCATCCAACTTGGTGCGTAGTTGACAAACAAATGCACTACTCACGAGTACAAAAAATCAGTGATATTTATTTAGTTCATTGCAATTATAGTACAAGTTTGATAGACCAACCGACAACGCGGAAAACACCAAACGGCCGTTTCATCCTTTTTGGACTCTTCAGTGTTCTCCTGAGGGAACGGGACCCAGGACTGCTAGTGGCTTGCACCACTAGACAGAAGCTTATGCCCCTGGGTCATGGAGGACGATAGCTGACCATCAGGGGTTGAAATCCAACTGTTATAGACCCATCTGCGACTTCGAGCGGTTACTTATTGACAGTAAGAAGAGCTGGTGTGTCGGTCTAAAAACAGCTCTTCGTATTTTGGATGTGCAAAGCGCACTTGGAAGCGTGCAGCGCTGCACGTTAGCCTATTCAGTAGCGTCTGCACAGAAGCTGCGTCTGACCCAAAGGAAGCTGTGTCATCCGAACAGTTCAGATTCTACATTTGATCTACTAAGAGAACAGCGGTCCCCAGTAGAAGTGAAAGGAGGCAGGAGGGAGTCATGCATGAACAGTTCAAAAAAACAAATTTTGAAGAGGAATGGACTATTGTGACAGCGCTGATGCACGCAGGTGAGGGTTTCCCATACAATCTAACATGGCTAAGGTAATCGTGGCACAGATGTTTTAGAATAGAGATGAATCCATCATGCACATCCTACAAGGATAGACGCCGCCACGGAGAAAAGTGGTCAACAGAAACAAATGCAACCATCATGTGAGATCCTCATGATGGGTTGGTATTCTAAGACCGGTTACATCTAGACATCTACGAGTGAGTAGAAACACGGACAACGTGACCATTACAAATGTAGCAGCCAGCTTCACATGTTCGTTCCTTAGGGGGAAAAAATGAACCAGCGCACTGTGATGCGAATCAGTAGGATTCCTATAAAAAGTAGATAAAGAACAGAAGTACGACGAAACCACAGATATCGTAAACTCTTGGTTTCTAAGAATGGTAGATAATGAAAATCGCTAAGGAGAGGGGATGTAAACATAACGGAAAAAAGTAAGAAGGAATAAATGAAAAGAAGTGCAATCGTCGTACGGAAAGGCAATATATATATATATATATATATATATATATATATATATATATATATATATATTTGGTTGGCGGCATCCGGTTTCGGATTTGTCTGGCACTGTGGCCAGTCACAGGACACCTGCGCTTACACAGGGACCATGGGTGGCTTGCGCTGCACCACCCACAGCTCCAACCACACACCCCATATCCAGTGTAAACCCGAAGAAATAAGACCGGGAGGATGTGGATAGGAGCCACCTTTCATTAAAGGAGCAGGCCCACACTTGTTCACATGCAAACACAAGCACGCTGTATTTGGGGAATCAAGCGCACACAAGACGGTGGCTGGACCGTAGTCCACTCCACAATGAGTGCATTAAACCAATCTTCGACCCTAGCACGACCATAAGGAGCGTGCATCCCGTTCCTTCCAGCAACGACCAACTGTCCCCTGGTGCCAATATGAAGGAGGTAGTGGGTAATAGACAGGTAGGCACCTTATCAACATGCACATCAAGCGCAGCCACACCGGAGATATCAAGCAACAGCCAATCGTTTGAAATAACATTATCAAAAAACGTAAATCTGTTAAAGCATACGGCTATGCAGACAAATCATCATCATTATACACTTTAGCTACAGGTGGAAAACATCTCAGCTATTGTGCCGAATACAAAAGACAAGAAAAGGAAAACAAACAGTGGCACGCCGGATAAGTCCCCGGTAACGGATGGACATCGTTCCGGAGAGGTAACAGCCGGCTATCGTGCCGCAAAAAGTTAGTTTATGCCTAACGAATGAGATCATGATTAGAGTGGGAGGTTAAGCAGGAGGTCATGGATAAAGAAACTCAACACAAACGCCATTGGGACCGGCTCCTAGCCATATCAGCAAGTGTGTCCAACCAAACGTGTTCATCGTCCTTAGGACCTCAGTCAGGCAGTCGGGATGCACCAACCAACGCCAACTTCGAAGTGAGGGTTTTCATCTCTCTCGACCAAGTCATCGTTTAGCTTCCCCTCCTCTTCCAACCGCACCCATAACGCGCAAACAATGCACATCGCGTAAGTCGGCGTGCAGGAATGCGCAACACGTGGCCCAACCATCGGAGCATGGTGCGTGATATAGTGCAGGGCTGTTCATTCTCACTTCCTACACCAAATACGCGACGCCGAACACGCTCATTGCTCACGCGGTGCTCTCACCAGACATGAGCTAAGCTGCGAATGCAGCGATGATCGAATGTGACGAGCCTCTTTATGTCTGTCGACCTGATGGGCCAGGTTTCACAACCATATAGGAGAGTTGAACGGACAGCTGCGTTATAAACTCTATCGTTCAGGGCAAGAGTAAGGTCGCATCTGCGCCACAGGCGGCGGAGAATGGCGAAAACACCTCGAGTTTCTGCTATATGGTTCGTAATCTCATACTCGATCCAACAGGCGCTAATATAGCTGCCCAGGTACTTGAATTCCTGAACGACTTCCAGCTTATCACCAAAAAGCGTTAGCGCAGGCTTGGGTCCTTACCAATCTTGGAGTACTTTGCAATTCGATGGAGCAAAGCATAGCCCAAAACGATTGACAGCCAGTGCTAGTCGATTCATTGCTGCTTGGCATGTATGGGAGCTGTCATAGATTAGGGCAATATCGTTTGCGTACTCCAAGACAAGAAGTCGCTTACAAGGAAATAGCTCCACACCTTCTAGGTCGTGTCCAGCGAACGCTGTTTCCATGACTTCATCAATGACGAAGTTAAAGTGGAAAGGTGACAGCGGGCAACCTCGTGTCACACCGCTGGTGATACTGAAGGGTGGCAACAATTTGCCATAAACCCTCACCCTGCCCGAACTATGCGCATACAGCGCTTTGATAATGTTGACATATTTCTCAGGCACACCTTGCTTTTAGCAGATAGTCCCAAACGGCAGATCGATCGACTGAGTCGAAGGCACCTTTTATGTCAAGAAACACAACGGTGGGACGCCAATAAACATAGTGGTGCTACAATAATTGACGCAAGGTGAAAATGTGGTCAATGCAGCCACAACCTGGACGAAATCCGGCTTAATCTTCACGAATCTGACTTTCAGGTGTGCCAGTCAGTCTGTGGAGAATGACAGACACTAGCAATTTAGAGGCAATTGACATGAGACTGATCGCTCTATGACTGCCGCATTCCAAACGAAAGTTTCCCTTGAAAATCGGGACAATGACGGAGCGGCTCCAGTCTCTCGGGACAGTCTCCTGCTCCCAAAGTTTCACTAGCAACTCGTGTAAATCATCTACTAGAGCAGGTCCCCCGAAGTTGAAGAGGGCTCGGGGAATTGTATCTGACCCTGCGGCCTTATGCAATTTCAACAGCCTGATCCCACGTTCGACTTCTGTGCGTGAGGGTGGACTTAAGGAGACGGCCCAAGGAGAACGGTGCCCAATGCCCGAAAAAGAAACCGATAACTCGAATTGGTTAAATTCAATTGCAAAGTGTTCGTCCCAACGCTCCAAGCGTTTTGACAGGCAGTGGATCAACTGCCCCCTCTCATCGAGTATGGTCTCACTAACACCAGGTGTCTTGCTGCCTGTTTCCCGTATCAGAAGTAATAACACGATGATTGCTAACGGCAGCGGTTGTTTCCATACCAGAGGCACGATGAGACCACCAAACCTCGCGGTCTTTCTTCAACCTATCACGTAGTTTTGCCTTGATATTTTTGCGAGCCTCATTGTATTCGCATCCAGCCGGAATACATCGGCGATCATCCATAAGTTCCAGAGACTGTGCAGAGACCCAATGTCCAGTTGGGTAATTTGATTTGTTATATGAAAAAATGCCTGCTGATAGTAACGTTTGACGAATTTGCGAGCAGTGATCCTGAACGGTGTTCAGTGGGCGCTTACTCAGCCCGGATGCAGACAAAACTATGCGCTAAATTAGCATATGAAGTATGTTGGTTAGCAACGAATCCGCGATAAGTAAAAATGTCCACAAGTTAATCAAAAACGTGTTAGAAACGCAACAAAGTTATCGAAGATGAGCCAAATTAGCGTAAGCAACGTGTGCAAGTTAATAGATGATTATTCAGGTAGGCAGAACGAACAAAGTGGAAAGAAAGTTAGCCAGCAAAAAAGGTCCTACCTCA